CTGGACTGACCTATCCCCTTCCTAACTCCCTACCTACACTCACCTTTACTGGCTCCATCCCCGCCTCTTCGACCTGTTTGTTTCCTCTCCACCTCTCCTCTATCCCTCTTCTATCCGCCTCCCACTCTCTCCCTATTTATTTCAAAACCCCCTTCCCCTCCCCCTTTTCTGATGAAGGGTCTAGGCCCGAAACGTCAGCCTCTCTGCTCCTATGATGCTGCTTGGCCTGCTGTGTTCATCCAGCCCTGCACCTTGTTCTCTCTGTAACCCTCTTTGAAGCAGTCTGAAAAGAAAACCTGATAAGGTTTCAAGCGTCATTTCCCAGCAGAAGCTGACACCTAGTCTGAAGATTTTCCATTAGACTGGAACAGTCAGCAATCTGGTTTCATGGACTGCAATTCAAAGCGAATGTGAGAAGTCAACTCATTTCTTGTCATCGGAATTTGCTTCTTGTCCTAAAGGGGTTTTGTTTTTTATTTCCCTTTACCCTAATGATTTTTGCTCCAATCATAATCGCTCTATAGAGTCATGAGTATCCTTGTGTTGTCTGTGTATTAATGTGTGTTGGTTAGGGTTCAGGGTGACATAGTTTAAATCCATTACCTTAGTTGATAAGCAATATACTACTTGGTATACTGCTCTTCCCTCTCTTTGGGTTCTATCCCTACCTATCGTTTACTCCCTATCCCCTCCTCGTCTCTATCTTCTGCATATAAACGGATGGTTTTCTAGCTACCATCCATTCTGAGGAAGGGTCACTGGACCCGAAATGTTAACTCTGATTTTTTTCTTTACAGATGCTGCCAGACCTGCTGAGCTTTTCCATGGACACTTTTGGTATGGGTTGTGGTCTGGTGGAGCTTGATTTCCAACACATTCTTCCTACCAGAGTCATATAAAAATGTCCAGGGACACAGCAAAGGGATTGTGTGCTTTTCTTTTATTCATTTGTGGGATAAGGGCATCGTTGGCTATTTATTCTCCCTCCCTAATTGTCCAGAGGACAGTTAAGAGTCAGTCACATTGCTGTGGATCTGGAGTCACATGTAAGGCTAGACCAGGAAAGGACTGCAGTATACAAGTATTTAGGAAAGAGTGCACATCAAGCAGTTTTTGTTGTAAGTCATTCATGAACTTTATTGCAAGGCAGAGAAAATTCATCATAGATATATGTGAGATCATCTAATTGTGCCAAAGAAATAAATATTGCTATTAGATGATCACATATTTGAAGGACCTGAGCAGGAAAGCTGCCTGGGAGTTTTGGTGGGAAGTTTTTCAAAACTGTTTGACAATGAACAAAATTTAGGACACATATTAAAAGTGTGAATGTAAGTCAAAAGGAAGTGATTTTGAAGTTGTACCTGGCTTTGGTGAGACCACTCTGAGTCTAGTTTTAGTGTTCAATAGGGCTGTAAAATTACTAGAAGGAGTTCTACAAGGTAAATAGTCCTCTTATTATAAAAAAGTGTATTCTCCGACTTACCATATTCCTTCACCAGCAGCCAGTTAATTATTGAAATGATGAACTCGGTTATATTTGTGATAACTTGTAACCTGATTAGCTTCAATTTTATGAAATAAAATGGAGAATGGCATACAAGTGATGTACCTTTCTCCCAGTGTTGTCACAGGAAGATGTAAGTAATAAAAACAATGTGAGAGGAAACCAGAGCTCATTGTAACCTCCATTTCCCCTGGCGATATCCAACACGTTGCATTGGTTAAACCACAAGTGAAGTGAATCAAAAGCTGGCTCACTTCACTTTAACAGAGCCCGGGAATCCATTGACTCACGCTGCAACGTGGAACCAGTAGATTTTTTGTCATGTTCTGTAACTGAACAGGAAGCAGCAGTTTCATTTTAACATGCACGTGTGTGTCTTTTTATAGAGGTGTTTACAAGGTGCTAACTTTTAAGCACCTGCTGTGGTCTTAATAAAAGATGTGGCAAAGGAGCCATAAATAATTAATGTGCATTTCTTTTTTTTATATATTTGACATGAATGGAAAGTGATCAGTCAATGAGATGGAAAATGTAAATTTAATGAACTTCAATAAATGCTAACAGATAGATAAACAGACTGAGATATTTGTTTTGCCACAGAAATTAAATTTGGCAATTAATTCTTCAGATTAGCCATTTCCACTTACAAAGCAGATTTCATCAGATAACTGATTATAGTTGTGCCCAGCAGCCAACAACAAAGAATGTTGTTTTCAGTGATATGTCAACACTGGTGTTTACTGTTAGATCAACAAATTTGCCATGTTAGAAAACTGTTGGACATTGAGCCTGCCGGCAGGGGTCGATAGAGTCAGCCAGAAAGCAGCAACAATTTGTGGTTTGCACTATCAGAAATCTCAATAGTTTTGATGGGGTAACTCAAGTTTCTTATTTGATTCATTTTTTAAACTGGATTTGCTTTAAAGAGAGTTCGATTTTTTTTTTTTTGAAAAGCAACGAATGTGCCAGTAAATTAAAAGTAATCTGGTTATTTTGTTAAAATTGCACGCAGCATTCCTGTGTTTAAATTCTATTTAAATGTACAGATTTGTTTCATCAGTTTAAGAGGGCTTTCTGCAGATTTAGCTAACCAAACCCCTATCTACACTGTAATGTAATGGCAAAGCCATGGGATGGTACTTGGATTGGTAAAGCAGAACTTCATGTTTGGAGGATTGGGACAGTGAGAGGCTTCTCTCAAGGCTCATGGGGGGCAGTCAGAGGCAGGAGAGATGAAGGGGCCTACTTGCTGTAATCTTGCCTTTTGGGTTTATGGTTCCTGCCTTCTGGATCCCAGGTGGTCAGATGTGACTGACTTACTTGTTCCTTCTGATGCTGGGAGGTGAGAAGGAGGGCCAGGATTGCAAACTGCAAATCCTCAAGGAAAGGACCTTAAATTAGCTGATGCCAGACCCGCTCTGTAGGAGATCAAACATCACCTGTGCTGATTGTTTGGTACATTTAACCTGATAGCACATCTTTACGTGGAAATTGTTTTGTCACTAACTTTTGAAATTAGATGATCGCTTTTCTCAGTTGCTAAAGCACACAAGTGCCTGTTTGTGCAACGTCGCAAGTTAATAGCAGAAGGCTTTTTCTGGAAAAAAATAGTAAAATATATTCCATTACCACTCAAACAACAACCCATTACGGAGCTGATGATTTGCAACACTTGGTAGAATGGATCTGTATTTTAAAATAAGAGGAAAAAAAGTATGGACATGGTAATTGAAGGCCAGTGAGCATGACTTCATTCGAACTTGAACTCTTACAGCTCTACAGCGGCATCTTCTGGTAAGGTCAGGGAATTTAGCCTGAAATACTTCCCTCCCTCTCTGCTGCTCTTGTTCGCTGGTAAATCTGACACTTAGCTCACAGCCTGCTCTTCTGTTGCTCAATCCCAGTACCGTTTGGTGGTGAAGACTGCTCTGAAACTCCTGTTGGTGTTTGTGGAATACACAGAGAACAACGCAGCTCTTCTCATCCAGGCTGTCAACACCGTGGACGATAAAAGAGGTAAGCTATCATAGAGAGATCAGGGAGAGTCAGAAGCATATAGTGTAAGTATTTAAAGCACAAGATTCATGGTTTATACAATAGACAAAACTAATAGTAGCTTGTACATAAATACATGGTCAGAGATGCAAATATACTTTAAAATTCGAATGACTGTGGCTTTTTTTGCCATTGACTACGTAATTTTTTTCAAACAAAGTTTCAGACTGAATGCTTTAAGAGAATTTAATGTACTTTTAATTGGAATTAACATGTTGAAATGTGTGGCACGCTTGTGATGCTAATCTCTGGTCTTCCAGTATTCCCCCTGAGGTTTTGTGACTGACAAGATACATTTCCCTTGTACTGAGACCCCACTGGGAGCAAAAAAAGAGTCAGATTTATTAACTTTGCATCAAAGTTTGTAAGTCGACACAAGAAGTGCAAAAGGTCAGAACAAACTGGACCATTGATTTACTGCACGTGGAGTGTGGAATTTATTCAGTCTGAGCCTGGATTTGGGGCTGTGATCAGTACAGGTGAAGAGGCACAAGCAGTAGGCACTAAGAGGCCATGAGTCTGAAAGCAAAATAAATTGTTGCTGTAACTATGCCTTCTGGAAATGAAGGGTCCTTATGACACCTATACTGATGCTCACCAACATGAATTACTGCCTTTGCAACTGCAATATGGTATTGACAGCAAGAATCAGATTGCTGAGTTGTCTCCATGGTCACCACAATTGTAGGTGTGTGTGACAACTGGGTTTTAATGCTGCACGAACCAGTAGATGCCATGTGCCTGGACTCTGGGAATGCAGATTTCTGCTGACCACTAGTTAGACTGGAAGGCTGACTATTGAGGGAGTCCGAGGAGAAAGAAACAGTGAGGAAAATGACACTCGGAGGTGGTTGAGGTTTCTTAAAGCTGTTACAAGAATCTGAACGACAATGTGTGGCAGGAAGTCCAATTACTCTGGCCTTTGTGTGGGGTGCAAGACTTTTAAAAATAAAACCCACTTTTCAAATCACTTTGAACCTTGTGTAGCAGGAATAAGGGCCGATGTCTCCCAACAATAATGAACTCCTCATTGGTAATTTAACCAACTCCCTCTTGAACTCAATATACTGCTGTTTTACGTACAGCATTCCCACAATTAATTGTAAATTATAACTGCACTTCCTGTGCAGATCTGAAAGCACAGTTCATGCCCATCAAACCAAAACTTTTGAACCTAATCTAAATGCGAGAGTTGAACTGCTAATCTTACTTCAATTGCTGAAGTTTATAAATATGTTGACAATTAAGAAAAAAAAATACTCGTAGTTAATTTAGCTGGATAGGCCTAAAAAAGTCTGTGACCCCACATTCATATTGAGCTTATGTAGCCCGACTGAATGAAAGTTAATGAGTTGTAAGAATGTGCTACTAGGCCAGATGCTAATTCTACATGTCTTCAGTTCCGCTTTCTCCATCTCTCTGTATCTGAGGCACTGTACTCAACATCGAATAGACCATTTGTTTATCATTGCAACTGTTTAAAAGGTTCTGCAGCCTGATATAATCTGGCAGGCCGGCTGCAGGAATTCTGTACTTGACCAATTTTTAATGCAGGCCACAGGCCAGCAGCCCTGACTTAAATGAGCCGACATCAGGATTGCGGGGGTGGACGGGAGAACTTTGGTGAGAAACTGAATGTTGTGTGGGTTAATTTTTAGCAGATGGCCAGAGCATTTGGGTCTGGTATGTAAATGCAACGAGAAAACATGCTGATAGATTTCTGTCAGGCAAGGGCAAAGCATACGTGCCCGAGCTGCTGAATAATGGAGTGAAGATGCAGATCAGTCACAAGCTAATTGTGAACACTAGAATGTGAATCCTTGGCTGATTGACTTACTCCCATTCTTACGTTTAGCTCACAAGCTGGTTTTTGCCACTACTAACAATAGCTGATTGCCAACAAATGTGCTGAACCTCAGTTATAAAAGGTAATAAATGTGTTTGGTAATTGGCTACAGTCACTCCCAATCTCTCCGGGTGATCTTACTGGGTTTCTGTAATCATATCATTTTGGTTGTGCCTCATTATCTAGGGACTTAAAAGATGGAACAAGTGAGATAGATAATCCATTGGTCTTAATTTTCCAAAACTTCCTTCATTCACGAGTAGGCCCATTAGATTGGATGATTTTAAAAAAAAGGGAGTCAGAAAGCTGGGAACTATAGGCAAACTTCTCTCCCAGGGAAAATGTTTGTTTGCTATTATTAAAGAAATTATTGCAGGGCCCTTTTGATATGTTCAATGTGTGGTGATGTGGCCAAGGTTATTGTGGTGAGCTGTGATATTGGGTTCAGACCCTTATCCTGGCACTTTTTCCCTCCACAGTGTATTTTATTCAAACATTACATTACAGTTTCAGGTTCTCATTATGTAAAGTGCAAATCCAATCGGTTTATTTTAACATAGTATGTGACATTCTAAAGTGCCTCACTCATTGTTTTTCCTGACATCCTGTTCAGACATGCCTTTGACACATCACCAGCACAGGTGGGACTTGAACCCAGACCTTATTGCTCAGAGGCGAGAACGCTACCATTGTGCTACATGAGGTGAGGTGAGAGTGACAGTCCTTGGCATCAAGGCTGAACTCAACATTGTGTGCCATCAAGGGGCCCTGGCAAAACTGGAATCAATGGGTATCGGGGACAAACTCCCTGCCAGTTGGAGTCATACCCGAGACATAGGAAGATGGTTGTGGTTGTTGGCTGTCAGTCATCTCAGCTCCAGGACATCTCTGCAGGAGTTCCTCAGGGTAGTGTCCTAGGCCCAACCATCTTCAGCTGCTTCATCAATGACCTTCCCTCCAACATAACGTCAGAAATGGGGATGTTCGCCGATGATTGCACAATGTTCGGTAGCATTTGCAGCACCTCAGATACTGAAGCAGTCCATGTCTAAATGCAACAAGATCTGGACAAAATCCAGACTTGGGCTGACAAATGGCAAGTAACATTCACACCATACAATTACCAGGCAATGACTATCTCCAATAAGGGACAATCTAAGCTCTACTCCTTGACATTCAATGGTATTCCCATCACTGAATCCCCCACTATCAACATCCTGGGGGTTACCATTGGCCAAAAACCCAACTGGACTCACCACATAAACACAGTGGCTACAAGAGCAGGTCAGAGGCTAGAAATTCTGTGGTGAGTAACTCTCCTCCTGACTCCCCAAAGCCTATCCACTGTCTACAAGGCACAACTCAGGAGGATGATGGAATACTCTCTATTTATCTGGATTGGTGCCATGATACCAACACTCAAGAAGCTTGACACCATCCAAGACAAAGCAGACCACTTGATCGGCACCACATCTACAAATATCCATTCCCTCCACCACTGACACTCGGTAGCATCACCAACTACAAATGCACTGCAGAAATTCACTAAAGATCCTCAGGCAGTACCTTCCAAACCCATGACCACTTCCATCTAGAAGGACAAGGGCAGCAGATACATGGGAACACCACCGCCTTTCATCTCCTCTCCAAGCCAAATACCATCCTGACTTGGAAATATATTGCCATTCCTTTACTGTCACTGGGCAAAACCTTTGGAATTCCCACCCTAAGGACATTGTTGATCAACATACAGCACGTGACGTGCAGTGGTTCCAGAAGGCAGCTCGCAACCACTTTCTCAAGGGCAACTATGGATAGGAAGTAAATGATGACCAGCCAGTGACACTCATGTCCCATGAGTGAATTAAAAAGAACCCACTAAAGGGTTTTATTTAGAATATTCAGGCATGTCACTCATACAGTTTAAAGGGGTTTACATTGTTTCCAGCCTCCTATTGACTGGAGGACCTTAGGGAATGAGCTTCCCCATTAAACCTTGGGGGGGTTTTACCATGCCCTTCAGCACCTTACCCTGGACTTTGGAAAGTGCCAATCTATACCACTCTGTCATCAACAGCCTCTTGCATCAAACAGAGTTGACAGCTCTCCAGCACTTGCTGATGTTTGTCTCAGAGTGTCACAGGGAATAGCCTGGCAAACAGTGAGTCCTGCATTATCGAGCTTCCTTGACAGGCCCACTACGTCCCCCATCAAAGCTGTCTCCAGTGCATTGTGGAGAAACTCCAGGAACAATCTGACAGGGAGTGCCGTCTTCTGACCATCAGCTAAGCTACATCCTGGTACTTATTTGAAAGTTCTGATGATGGAACTTGGCACTGTCACAAACACGCATTGCATTTCCATGCTGCCTGTTCAGAACTCTGCCCCACTATGTGTTTTGATGTTCTGCAGCACATGCCACCCTCCAGCAGTGAGAGACATGCAGAAGAACTTGGCAATGGTTTCCCTGCTGAGTATTTCCCTTCGCCCAGGGCAGAAGTTTCGTTCCTTATTAGCTCGATGGCATAGACCTGATACTGTTGTGCCGGGAATCATTAGAACATAGCTGTGCCTGACTATTCTGTCACGCAGACAGCAGGTACATACCAGAGAACTGCACCAGCTAATTCTTTGTAATGTGTTTTGTACTTGATGGCCTGAATTTTCCAATGGTCAGACGGTTGTTATGTCCAGCATAGACAGGAGGTGTACATGGGGACCTTGCAGAAACGTCACTGTTGCATATTCTGAAGGAATCACCAGTGAAATTCCTGCCACTGGGCAATTCCTCTGCACCTGGAACCTTCAGAAAATCTCCATCTAAATCGGAGAGTTCAGAGCAATCCGATGAAATAAATGAGAAGGTAGACTATATACATAGTTAGACTATGAGTCTAACGTAGTCTAATAGACAATTTAATAATGAGTCTAATACGTAGTCTAACTCCTGAGTAACTATTCAAATGACCTCATACGTAGCTCAGACAGCCCTGACTACAGCTTCCCCAGACCCCATACACTCCCAGACTCTAACCCAACTCCCCATTTGTCCCATTCTACAACCAGCCCTACTTTCCCTGCTCCACATCCAATACCCCTTCCTCACTCCACATCCAACATTCCCATGCCCCTATCGCACTGGACCCAACTTCCCTGTCTGTCAGTGTGTACACATGCGCAGACACAGACAGAGACACACACACACTCTCTCACACACCACAATCCACACACACACACAGGAGCTAACATTGACCTTCATGCTGGATCTGATTTCTACACTAGCTTACAATAAACACTGCATATTTACCTAGTCCCTCCTGCCACCTTACCCATTGGATGTCGTACCTTTGCCACCTGGCACCTTGCCACCAGGCACACTGATCCCTATCCATTTGGCATTCCTACTCCAGCCCTCTATCTCTGAACCAGCTAGCTCACTACACCCAGGCAGCTTTCATGATTGGCGCCCTACAACTACCCTCCCAGCACCCTCACTTCAAACCTCCCTTCTGTACTTATTGATTGACAGTATGGTCTCTGGAACTCTGGACTTTAAAATGTCAGAACACAGCAGCAGCGAACTGTGAGAAGAGGTGATGTTTTGTGTTTTCACTTTCTCTGAGTGAAGAGATTCCTCCTCAGCTCAGTCCTAATCGGCCTGACCCTTACTCTCAGACTGTGCCCCCTTGGGTCCTAGAGCCTGACCAGCCAAGGGAACCATCTCCTCACCATCTCCTTGACTGTCACAATTGCCTGTTTCTGATGGACTTTTGCTGCACATCATGTGTATGCCAAATGTCACTAAAATATGAGAAGTCAAATGTTGTCTGCTATCTGATCCTGAGAATGACTGCCTGATTTTCACGTAAATACCGCACTTGGCTCACCGCTGTGTGTGTAATCCAATGGCTCATATTCATGTGTTTCTGTGTTCACACCAGAAGAATCAGGGAGCGATGAGGAATTTAGTTTTTTTTTTAAATCGGTGAGGAGTAATACTCTGGAATGGAATACCTGAAAGGATGGTGCCAGAAATTCAGAATTTGAAATGGGAAATGGATAAATAACTGAAGCAGAAACATTCATAGGGCTGGGGGGAAATGGCAAGGGAGAGGGATGGATTGGATAGTTCTTTCATCAAACCTGAATGGTCACCATCTACTTTGTACGATTGAATGTATTAATGTGTCACTTGAAATTTTATGTATTGACGGTTTGTATAGGAGTAATGTAGCTGTGTCTCTTAACTGTGCGGTTAGAATTTATCCTGATGCTGGATATAATCAAATTGTCTCCAATATTTTGCTATAAATTTTTCATCTGACGTGTGTCGATGTTAAAATCCTTCCTTTCTGCAGGCACAAAGACATGGACGAATTTAGTTGAAATTCTGGAGGAGAAGAATGGGGCTGATTCTGAGCTGCTTGTCTTCACTATGACACTCATTAACAAGGTAAAAGCTGTCTGTGACTTTTTTTTCTTGCAAGTTTGTTTAATCCTGTGAGATCCGATTGTGTGACTCACCCTTCAGCAGGGCAGCGTGGGGAGGGTGTTGGGTTGGGGTGGGAGGAATTGTATTTCACTCCTCTGACATCAGTTACTCCCTCCGCCCTGACGTGCGAGCCTCAAATTCTCTGAGAGACAATTTATTTTTTCATTTGGTTTTCCATTTACATAGAAGTCCTAATGCTGCCCCTGGAGTACTGCAACCAGTTCTGGTCCCTTCATTGGGGACTGTCTCGGGTGAGGAAGATTTTTTAGGTGGAGAGATTGAGTAGGTTGTGCCTGTGCTCTGTATTCTGTATTCTCTCTCTGTATTCATAGAATTCCTACAGTGCAGATAGAGGCCGTTCAGTCCGTCGAGTCTGCACCGACCCTCCGAAGAGTATGCCCATCTATTCCCATAAATTCACAACCCAGCATTTCCCATGACTAATCCACCTGGCCTACATATCCCTGGACACTACGGGCAATTTAGCAGGGCCAGTCCACCTAACCTGCACATCTTTGGATTGTGGGAGGAAACCGTAGCACCTGGAGGAAACCCACGCAGACGCGGGGAGAATGTGCAAACTCCACACAGACAGTCGCCTGAGGGTGGAATCGAATCCGGGTCCCTGGCGCTGTGAGGCAGCAGTGCTAACCGCTGAGCCACCGTGCTGCCCAACTACTCATTGGAGGAGACCCTATTGAAATAAATAAGATTCTCAGAGGGCTTGACAGTGTCGATATGGAGAAGTTATTTCCACTTGTGGGACAGTCTGTCTAAATTGCTGATACACGCAGCACAGTTGTCAGTATCAGCACCCCAATTGTGGCTTTGACTTTCAATTCCAAAAGTTGCAGCTGCACACGGGCCTCAGAAACACACTTAGCCAGTAAGGAAATCAAAGGGAATGTTATCTAGGACGAGAGGGGACAATCCCAGCATAACGGGGTCTCCCATATGAAACAGATGAGGGGGAATTCCCTCTCTCAGATGGTTGTAAGTCTTTGGGATTCTTTACCACAGAGTTCTGATGAGAGTAAGTCATTCAATATATTCAAGCCTGCAATAGACAGATTTTTAATCAGTAAAGGAATCAGTGGTTGTGGGGAAATGGTAGGAAAGTGGAGTTGAGGATTATCAGATCAGCCATGATCCCATCGAACAGTGGGGCAGAATTGATGGTTGAATAACCTACTCCTATGCCATTAGGCTTACCATCAACAAATCCTAGTTTGTGAATCAATATTTTAAAATTTTAGACTTGCTGAGAAAAAATGTTTGAATTTATGCAGTGCCTTTCGAGAACGTGGCAAGTCCCAAAGTGCTTTGTTTCAGGTACATTTTGAATATAATCATTCGGAACAATCTTTTATTTTGGATAGGGTCCGCTTTTTGAATCTCAGAGTCTCCTCTGTCATTCTCATTATTTATTCTGATTTGTTAGGGGATGCAGTCACATTGCTTTTCATTTCTGTGTTGACATACAGGGTTTTTGCACTCACAAAGAAGCAGAATTAGAAGAATTCATCCACACCCTCAATAACGATCAGCCGGCCATGAAACTTAAAGCTACAACACAGGAAGGAAACATTACTTTCTTAGACATCGCAGTATATAAATTAACACAAGACAACAGGCATAAGTTAACCACAAACATTGGTGCAGGGAGGGTGTGTGGTGTGTAATGGGTCTAGGGGAGACGTAGTTGGTGGGGGATATGGGGTAAATACGGGTTTAGTTGTATAGTTACACAGGAGTTAGATGATATATTTAATAATTTAACTTTTCCTCAATAAATATTTTGCTTAATTCCATTGGAACCCTCTGAAGTCTCCAGTCTAAATGGAAACTTTTGGAGGGTTCCAAGTGTAGGGGAAGTGCCTGGTGGAAATTGAATTTCCTGGGAAATTCCTCTTGAGTCTGCTACAATGAGAATTCTGCAAGGTCCCTGTTTGCACCTCCAATCTACACTGGAATATCGACAGTCTGGCCATCACAAGGCTCTACATTTTCTATAGTTCCTGGCAGCGCCTGCCATTTCTTTTTGACTGTATTCAAATGTGAGATACGCTTTCAAGGCTCAACATGTGTTGATCACACCTAATTGCCTTGATAACTCATCTACACCCTCTTTCAGTTCTTCATGATTCTTGTTACAGTTGTCTATTTGGGGCAGCCAGTAACTTGCAATGTTCACCCAAGTTCGAAACACCAGTCTACCATAAGAATGTTCTCAATCCAGAAGCTTTGGGAAGTTCACCTGATACACTGTTACTTGCATGGAAAATGTTGTTCCTTTCTAACCTATTATGCCAAATTTGCTACAATTTTAGTTTTTTCCTCTTTGAGAGGACAATAAGTATTTGCCTTCCTTACCTCATGAGGAATGCTGGCAGTATCCTGGTATTACCCGAGAATCCCTGCATGTTCTGCTGAACTTATCTCCAGAGCATCAAAATGCACGACTGAAAACCTGATATTTATTCCCCCCCCCCCGCCCAAAGGCATAATGCTTGTAGCCTGCTGTTAGTTATACTCTATTGCTGGTTCCAGCTGGTCTGTCACCGTTCAATATTGCTTTCAGGTTACACATGATAAATAATGGGCTACCACACCTCATCCATCAAGAAAAACTGAGACGCGGTCCAGTAATTTATTGTGACTTAGAGGTCCTTTTGCACCTGAAAGGTCGTGTTAAGTGTTTAATCACTCTGGGTGATTACGAATCTCTTGACATCAATCCTGAGTTCTCCAGTTTGACCTTCTGTCTTGTTGCCCTGAGTTAATGTTATCCCTGAAGTCAGGACTGAGTGTTTGCACAGTGGGCCAGGCAGCATCACGGGAACACGAAAGCTGACGTTCTGGGTCGGGACCGTTCTTCAGAAATGGGGGAGGGGGAAGGGAGCTCCGAAATAAATAGAGAGAGGAGGGCTGGGGCTGGGGAAGGTAGGTGGGATGGTGATAGGTGAGTGCAGGTAGTGAGTGGTGGGGATTGGTCAGTATGGTGGGAGGGGCGGATAGGTGAGAGAGAAGATGAACAGGTTGTGTCAGGTCAAGGAGGCGGGGATGAGAGGGAGGGTTGGAATGGGATGAGGCTGGGGATGGGGAGATTTTGAAACTGGTAAAGTCCACATTGAGACCTTTTGGGTTGCAGGCTCCCAAGGCGGAATATGAAGTGCTCACCATCTCTGGTGACCACCTCGAAACCAATATCTATTTCAAGCCCACCGACTCCCACAGCTACCTAGACTACACCTCCTCTCACCCACCTTCCTGCAAGAATGCCATCCCCTATACCCAATTCCTCTGCCTCCACCGCATTTGCTCCCAAGATGGGGCGTTCCACTCCTGAACATCCCAGATGTCCTCCTATTTCAAGGACTGCAACTTCCCTCCTTCGCTGGTCGAAAATGCTCTCAAACGCATCTCTTGCATTTCCCGCACCTTTGCCCTCACATCCCTTTCCTGCAATGAAAACAAAGACAGAATTCCTCTTGTCCTCACGTATCACCCCATCAACCTCTGGATTCAACGCATCATGCTCCGCCACTTCCGCCACCGGCAATCTGACCCCACAACCAAGGATATATTTCCTCCCCACCCTTATCTGCCTTCCGTAGGGACCGCTCTCCCCACAACTCCCTTGTCCACTCCACACTCCACACTAGCCCACCACCCCTGGCACCTTTCCCTAAGACCACAGGAAGTGCTACACCTCCCCGCTCACCTCTATCCAAGGAACCAAAAACACCTTTCACATCAGTCAGAGGTTCACCTGCACATCCGCTAATGTTGTCTATTGCATCCGCTGCTCCCGATGTGGTCTCCTTTACATTGGTGAGACTAAGTGGAGGCTCGGAGACTGCTTTGTAGAGCACCTGTGCTCTGTTTGTGACAAAGGACAACACCTTCCAGTCACAAACCATGTCAACTCCCTCTCCCACTCCCTGGATGACATGTCCATCCTGGGCCTCCTCCAGTGTCACAATAACGCCACCTGGAAACTGGAGGAGCAGCACCTCATATTCCGCCTTGGGAGCCTACAGCCCGATGGCCCAAATGTGGATTTTACCAGTTTCAAAATCTCCCCACCCCCGACCTCATACCATGTCCAAACCTCCCTCTCATCCCCGCATCCTTGACCTGACACAACCTGTCCATGTTCTCTCCCACCTATCCGCTCCACCCACCTCACTGACCAATCCCCACCACTCCCTACTTGCATTCACCTATCACTATCCCACCTACCTTCCCCAGACCCACCCCTCCTTTCTGTGTTCATTTCTGAGCTCCCTTCCCGCTCCCCATTTCTGAAGAAGGATCCTGACCCAAAATGTAAGCTTTCCTGTTCCTCTGCTGCCTGGCCTGCTGTGTTCCTCCAGCTCCACACTGTGTTATCTCTGACTCTAGCATCGGCAGTTCTTACTATCCCTCAGGACTGGGTGTTTACTTTTTCCAGATCCTTTATTGTACTTTTTTTATAATGCCCCCTCTTCAAAGTTTTGCCATCTTTGCTCATAACTCAATTCTCTTTCACTGGAGATGAGGTGTTTGGCTCTGCCCTGTGTTGCCCTCAGGGTTTGAGTGATTTGGTTGTGTTTCAGGAGTAAAATCTGGATGTAGTCATTAACCACGAGCAGAGCACATTACAGCTCAGTGATAACTTGTCCAGTTCATGCTCTGCTGATTTAAGGGAGACGACTCAATTTCCTTTATGACTTGTTGCTCAAAAATGGCTTGGAAATGTTAAATACTGACCCTTAGTTTTCCCTTAAATCTGTTTCATCTTCACTCCAGCTAGATTAATGCCATTCACAAGAGTCTGTGCGCTCTCTGTGCATCATTCCTTGTGTTCGCTTTCTCAAATTTTATCTTCTATTATTTTAGTTTTCATCCAGTTCCTCTTGTGGATCCTTGGATGTCTCATCAAACACAACTGCGTTCTCCTTTTTCAATTCTTCTTC